CGGTGATAGTAGCGGCTAGGGATTCTGAGTTGAAGGCTCCACTATCCGTTAACTTGTTTAGTGCGTTTGTTAACTTAGGTAGAAGTTGGGAGAGCGTTTTATAATACCCTAAGGAGAAGCCATCCTGGCGCGGTGCTTTCCCAGATTTAGCATTTTTGATTGCAGATGTCAATTCTAATTTGTCGATGGGAGAATCCAGCGTTTTCGGCTACCTCAGGTGGTATTGCATTAGGTTTGTGCTAATTTAGGTAGTCCCTGATGTGCTTTAGTCGTTCTGTCTCCAGAGCGGGAGGTTGATTGCTTGAGGTTCGGTAGAGTTTGGAGCAAAAATCCTGGAATGCCCTGGCAATGTCCCGCAGGAAAGGGGACGTTACCTCCGATGACAGGTTGAGTTTATGAATCTGTGTACATTGTCTCAGGCCCTTGAGCAGTGAGAAGAAGGGAAGAGGAAGGAGAGAAAAAAAAGGAGAGCAGAGGGGAGAAGTAAGAAAAAAAAGTGGTGAGTTGTATCTTTTTTTTATTGTTATAATATATATGATATATAAAGAACAGAATATGGAAAGCTCAAAATATTAAAAAAGTAAAATAAATAGAATATTCAAGTCGTTTTAGTTCTTGAATTTGCTAACTGTCCAATCATAGACATACACAAATGGTTTTCATGGTGTAACAAGACACTCCTTAACATGGGACAATTGGTGCTCACGGTCCTCAGAAAAGAAAAAGTGAATTTCAAATTTTAGAACAAAATAGTCGACTTGAAGGATAGCAAACTTGGAGAATTTTGGCAATTTAGCTGTGTTGACATTAAAATTTAAATTCACTTTGAATTCCCAACAATTCCCACGTTATTGAATACCGATGATAGTGTTTTTGTTCACCAATCAGGACTTCTAACGTTCCCCAGCTACAGACAACATTTTCAAAGTAAAAATAGTAAAGACTAAAAATAACCTGTTTAATGGGATGTTTTCAAGCAGTTTAATTAGCTGGCAGGTATTGTGTCAGCTCCCTGGAAAGAGCAGTTTTACAAAAACGTGTTACAGAGCTTGTCAACAAAAAACAAGATAACAAACTTTAATTACAATAAAGGTATTTGGCAGCAGAAGCAATTCTTAATTTGGGATGTGCATTTCCCAAGTTAATTTAAAGCAATAAGCATAATGTGCCATAGGATGGATATTAAAGGGACTCTTCAAAAATTAATCTGTTCATATGACAAGCAAAAGTGACAGTAAAAAAAACACCCTCATTTATTTTTCATAAAGTCATCTGCAGCAATTTAAGAAATAAATCACAAACCCAACGCACCATTTGCCTATCAATGCACAATAAAATAATATTCATTTAGCAATTTTGGGCACCAGTTTTAATGAAAGATATTGCAGAACTAAAAAAAGTGCAGAGGTGAGATACAAAATGAATAAGGAGAATGGAAAAAATTAGTTATGAAGAGCGGTTGGAAAAAAAATGCATTTGTTTTCTTTAGAAAAATGGCGCTTTAGTGATGAAATCACAGCACTACACAAATATATACAGGGTCAGTGCTAACATGTTCATTAGCTGGAATATAAAACATTGTAACTGGAAGAAAGGAGTTTTCTCTTACAGCCGATGAAAGGGTTCTTTACAGTAAGAACAATAAATATGTGGAATGCTCTGCCTAAAGAGGTTCAGTTATCAGATTCTATGGAAAAATTTAAAAAAGGGCTTGGATGCTTGTTTGCATTGACAAAATATTTAAGGATATAATTGATATGTATGTGAACAGGTTGTTGATCCAAGGAGAAATCTGAATCTTCAAATCTATATTCCACAGCACTGTACAATAGGTAAACAAGACAAAATCTAACAGTAGGTGAAAAGGATTTGTCAAGATTCTATTCTCAGGATGGACCCCTCAAAGTCCAACTTGAGATGTGCAGGTGATGCATAGCAGAGATACAAACGGAAAGAATCTCTCTGGAAGATATTTTTTTTTCTGCAGTATGAAGTCTAGCCATGAATCAAAGGGGTAATAGAGTGTTATAAGTGCTATTTTTTGCAGTGCAAAATGCTTGTATGCACTGAACAATAATGCCATTATGTATATATACAGGGGGCTGCACTCACCTGAACATGCATAAATGGGGTGCTTCTCATCCACTAAACAGCAACTTCAAAGCTCACACATGTTGTTAGCTGGGTTTTTTTAAACACCTAATCTAGGCAAAAATAATGGGGGTTTAGTTACTGTATATGGTCATACATTGCATAAGCCTGCCACAATGTCAATGTACCCCATTTTTGGCAGGTCCTTCTCTAACAACTTAATGCCTTCTCTTATGAGATTAAACCACTTACTTGGGGAAAAATTTCCATCTGGGCCTCTCAGCAGTACAAAGTCTATATTACATAGACATTGATATGTAGTTGGTCCCCCCTTTGCAGCTATAAGTTGGTTTCATTCTTCAGGTACGGCGTTCTACAAGATTTTGGAGTCTTCCTGTAAAAATATTTGCTCATACATCCAGTAGACCATTTGTGAGGTCAGGCACTGATGATGGATGAGAAGGCCTGGCTTGTATTCTCCGTTTCAGTTTATCCCAAAATTATTTGATGGGGTTGAGATCAGACCGTCAGGGCTCTGTGTGGGACAGTCAAGTTCTTCCACATCAAACTAATCCAACCATGTCTTTAATGGTTTGTGCACTGGGGCACAGTGATACTGGAATAGAAAAGGGCTATCCTCAAACTGTTCCCACAAAGTTTCAAGCATAGTATTGTCCAAATAGTCTTCGTATGCTGAAGCATTAAAGGACCACTATAGGCACCCAGACCACTTCAGCTTAATGAAGTGGTCTGGGTGCCAGGTCCAGCTAGGGTTAACCCTTTTTTCTATAAACATAGCAGTTTCAGAGAAATTGCTATGTTTATAAATGGGTTAATCCAGCCTCTAGTGGCTGTCTCTTGACAGCCGCTAGAGGCGCTTGCGTGCTTCTCACTGATTTTCACAGTGAGAAGACGCCAGCGTCCATAGGAAAGAATTAATAATGCTTTCCTATGGACTGGCTGAATGCGCGCGCAGCTCCTGCCATGCATGCACGTTCAGCCAAAGAGGAGGAGAGGAGGCGGAGAGGAGGAGGAGAGCTCCCCGCCAGGCACTGGAGAAAGAGGTAAGTTTAACCCCTTCCTCTCCATCCATCCCGGCGGGAGGGGGTCCCTGAGGGTGGGGGCACCCTCAGGGCACTATAGTGCCAGGAAAACGAGTATGTTTTCCTGGCACTGTAGTGGTCCTTTAAGATTTCCCTTCATTGGAAGTAAGGGGCATATCCCAACCCCTGAAACAGCCCCATACCATTATCCCTCCTCCACCAAACTTTACAGCTGGCATAATGCAATCAGGCGGGTAACGTTCTCCTCGCATCATTCAAACCCAGACTTGCCCAAACAGAGTAGGGTGATTTGTAACTCTACAGAACACATTTCCACTGCTCCAGAATCCAGTGGTGATGTGCTTTACCACTCCAACCAACTATTGGCATTGTGCTTGGTGGTGTGAGGCTTGCACACAGCTGCTCGGCCATGGAAACCCATTCCATGAAGCTCCCGTCACACAGTTTTTGTGCTGATATTAAAGCCAGTGGAAGTTTGGAATCAGCAGAGTGTTGGCGACTTTTACGCACCATGCGTCCAAGCACTCTGTGGCCCCGCTCTGTGACTTTATGTGGTCTTAAGCTTCATGGCTGATTTGCTGCTGTTCATAAGCATTTCAACTTGCCAGTAATACCACTTACACTTGACTGTGGAATATCTAGCAGGGATGAAATTTCACAAACTGACTTATTGCAAAGGTGGCATCCTTTCACAGTACCATACTTGAATTCAATGAGCTCTTCATAACGACCCATTGTTTAAACAAAAAACACCTGCATTCAATAATTAAGAGGTGCGTATCAATACTTTTGTCCATATAGTGTATATGTTTATTATACATACACTCACATGTTTTATATTTATTTTGCTATATTTTCTAAATTCAGGTATTTAAATGCAGTTTCTTTCTTTGAAATAAACACCAAACAAGATAAATAAAAATAGATGCAGCTTTTCCAACTCTGCAAAACTTGTTATTTACACGCAATTAATCAATACTGCTTCTTCTGCATATATTGCTCGGATGCCATATGTCGAGGAATAAAACAATGTTCTGCTTGACTTCTAGAAATCCATTAACCTCCGAGTGTACCTGTCTGACGGGGATTGTTTGAAAGGCCCCCCTTGGCTTTTGTGAGGCTGAGATTGAAGGGTTAACTCGGGATTATACGCGCATTGCCAAAAACCGTGATTTCCAGCTGTTGAAGTGACAACAAAAAAGCTTTAACATTCCAACATCTGCAGGAAAATTTCCAATCTATTGTCAAACAATTGACCTGGGGGGAGCAACCTTTCAGCCCGCTGATCTTGCTTCCTGCGAGCAAAGCAATTTGCTGCTGAACAACAATTAAAAAACATTAAAAAGTAATTAAATGTATGGATAAAAGATCTGAAACACAAAGCAGGTCATATCAGTGTGAAAACGGTATGACTCATTCAAAACGAGCAGGGATTTAAAAGGCTTCTGTCAAGGCAGGCCGTTAAAAAAAGCAGAAAACAAATGTTTGCATTGTACAGAGCCACGTTAAAGGGACAGCATCGCTAACAAGAGAACTAGGAACGGGATCGACCAAGCAGTTAAGATGTAGCCAGTGACACTCCCAAGATTCTCAGCAAAGCTTTGCCTCTTCATGTGTCAAAGCGTGCCGGGGTCATTGCTAAAGCAGGGGGAATATCCACAGTCCTACACAAGGTCAAATAAATACCACTGTAGTTTGCCATTTTGCCAAAAGGTGAGAAGCCCAGAGCATGGCTTATTATCTGAACTCACCTGATGCAGAGCCTGACTAGTATGGAAACCCAATAGAAAAAATAAATATTCAGGCACACCTGAGGTTTTTTCTAAAAGGCAGTCTTTTTTATTTGCAACAAGGAAGTGGAGACAATGTTTTGCCTCCTCTCTGAGCCTTTATCAAGTCTAAGAGAGGAGCCGAAACATTGTCTCCACTTCCTTGTTTCAAATAAAAAAGACTGCTTTTTAGAAGAAACCTCAGTGCCTTGATATTTAATTTCTCCCATTTGATGTCTTTAGGGATTGGCCCTACCTTTCTGGAGCACCCTGCAGGAAGTATTCTCACTTTTTTTGTGTGTGCATTACATGACATATGCATAGTCGCCTTTTCGGCATATGCAGGTTTAAACAACCCCCCCAAAACACAAGGATACCCGGACACCTTTTGTTTGGGAAAATTATTACAGCTTTATTAATAATTACATAATATATAAAATATTAAGGGTCATTGTCAACATATTTAACATAACATCTCAGCCAGTGGCGTACATACCAGGGTCGCAGGGGTCACGGCTGCGACCGGGCCCGGCCCACCAGGGGGCCGATGCCGCCCCTGCGACCCGGTATGTACCCACAGGGCCAGCCTCTTCCCCTGGCTGGCCCAAGAGCCGACCACCCGAGGGCCCCCCGAGGCTGGCCCTGCTGTCACCCGGCAGGCAGGTGGCCTGTCGGGCAGGCGGGCGCGCGAGGGAGCACTCAGTGCTTCCTCTTCAGCTCCCTCGCGCGCCCGCCTGTCCGACCGACCACCCGCCCAGGAGCCCAGCAGCACCACTGGACCCCAGGGAATCCCCCCAGCACTCCAAAAGGTAAGGAGGCGGGGGGGATTACATCTAAAAAAACAAACAAAAACGTGTAAGTGTTTGAGTGTGTGTGAGTGTTAGAGTGAGTGTTAGAGTGAGTGTTAGTGTTTGAGTTTTTGAGTGTTTGAGTGTGTGTGAGTGTGTGTGAGTGTTAGAGTGTTAGAGTGAGTGTTAGCGTTAGAGTCTTAGAGTGAGTGTTAGTGTTAGAGTGAGTGTTAGAGTGAGTGTTAGTGTTTGAGTGTGTGTGAGTGTTTGAGTGTGTGTGAGTGTTTGAGTGTGTGTGAGTGTTAGAGTGAGTGTTAGAGTGAGTGTTTGAGTGAGTGTTAGTGTTAGAGTGAGTGTTAGTGTTAGAGTGAGTGTGAGTGTTAGAGTGAGTGTTAGAGTGAGTGTTAGTGTTTGAGTGAGTGTTAGTGTTAGAGTGAGTGTTAGAGTAAGTGTTAGAGTGAGTGTGAGCGTTAGTGTTAGAGTGAGTGTTAGAGTGAGTGTGAGTGTTAGTGTTAGAGTGAGTGTGAGTGTTAGAGTGAGTGTTAGTGTTAGTGTGAGTGTTAAAGTGAGTGTTAGAGTAAGTGTTAGTGTGTGTGTCTTAGTGAGTCTGTTTGATGTCTGTTAGTGAGTGTGTGTTTGTCAATGAGAGTGTATGTTTTGTAAGTGAGTGTGTGAGTGTGTATGTATGTCTGTCGCTGAGTGTGTCTCTGTTAGCTAGTGTGTATGCGTCTGTAAGTGAGAGTGTGTGTGTGTCTTCAGCACTTACCTTTCTCCAGCGCCGGACTCCCTTGGCGCTGAGGATCCCTCAGCCTCTCAGCTCCGAATGAGACTGCGCACGCATTCAAACCGCCCATAGGAAAGCATTACTCAATGCTTTCCTATGGACGCTCAGTGTGCTCCTCTAGCGGCTGTCAGTGAGACAGCCACTAGAGGCTGGATTAACCCTCAGTGAAACATAGCAGTTTCTCTGAAACTGCTATGTTTTCAGCTGCAGGGTTAAAACTAGAGGGACCTGACACCCAGACAACTTAATTGAGCTGATGTGATCTGGGTGTCTGTAGTGGTCCTTTAACCCCTTAAGGACCAGACTTCTGGAATAAAAGGGAATCATGACATGTCACACATGTCATGTGTCCTTAAGGGGTTAAAGGACCACTATAGTGCCAGGAAAACATACTCGTTTTCCTGGCACTATAGTGCCCTGAGGGTGCCCCCACCCTCAGGGACCCCCTCCCGCCCGGCTCTGGAAGGGGGAAAGGGGTAAAAACTTACCTTTTTCCAGCGCTGGGCGGAGAGCTCTCCGATCCTCCTCTTCTCCTCCCGTCGGCTGTATGCGTTGCGCCAAGAGCTGCGCATTCAGCCGGTCACATAGGAAAGCATTCATAATGCTTTCCTATGGACGCTGGCGTGCTCTCACTGTGAAAATCACAGTGAGAAGCATGCAAGCGCCTCTAGCGGCTGTCAATGAGACAGCCGCTAGAGGAAATTCTCTGAAACTGCTATGTTTATGAAAAAATGGGTTACCCTAGCTGGACCTGGCACCCAGACCACTTCATTAAGCTGAAGTGGTCTGGGTGCCTAGAGTGGTCCTTTAAGTGTGTGTGCATCTGCATGCACTGGTGTACATACCGCGGTCGCAGGGGTCGCAGCCCTGTAACCCCTGCGACCAGGTGCCCACCGCCATGTGTTGCGGCCCGGCCCGCGCGCCGGGGGGGGGGCCCACGGATCAATTTTCGCACCGGGGCCCCGTGGGTCATGTGTACGCAACTGATCTCAGCCCCAACTCTTTTAACAATTCAACCCTGACAATGACTCCCATAAACAACAATATTAACATATATTAACATAAATAACATCTAACCACTTAAACCATTGCCACCGTGGGCATGATTTACCATGTTCCAACATGTAGGGGTATACCAAAATACACCCTTCACACACCAGGTTTGTAGCTACTGATGAGCTCTAACCAACCACCATATTCCACAATGTAGGGGTATACCAAGATACACCCTACACACACCAGGTTCGGAGATACCGACGAGCTTGAACCAACCAAAATCTAACCAAGCCTAACAGTTCTTAGCGAACTAAACTATGTTACATCAGGACAAACAACCTATATTCCAACTTGTTTATCCATCCCCCACTGCCCTGACCAAACGGGAACCAGAACCTACTTAAAGGGAGGGAGAGTGGGACAAAACAGATAAGTGAGGATTAATTAAGAAGGCCCTTGGTCTAAAATGGCCGCTATATGCATTCCCATAATCTAAACCCTCCCCCCCCCTTTCTATAGCCAAACCCCAATATTAACACCTCCTATGCCTGTCTCCTAGCCCTGCCAAGGCCCATTCCACCTGGCTGCGCTGCTCCATGGGCTACACTCTAGTTTTTTTTTTTAGAATGGAAACCCAGGGATGTATCTTAAAGTGTCTTAGACAAAGGGGCAAGAAAAAAACAGAAAATACCAAGAGCGGACAACAGCTCAATTAGCTTGTTCTTCGGTGGGTCTCTGCTCAGTCCTTAAGCTCATTTTGTGCCATTACACAGAAAACCTAAACCAAAGATTAGCATGAAGTAAAACACAATAAAATTGGAAAGAATGAGTAACGTCACGTGCCCTCAGGCAGCAATACTGCATGTTTTCCCGATCTCTGCTCACCGACATGTTTATGCCGAGAAAGAAAGTTTGTCCCATGCCTTATCCGTAGCTCATTCTTTAATAATGTAGACAAGTAATGTTTAGCTTGATGTTTCGGTTAGTGTGTGTACAATGATTCATTTTCACTTTTTGGAAAGCACGCTTACCCTTTACTGCTGCTGTAAATTGCTTGGCGAAAGGTGCAAACGAATCCACTCCATTATTTGATGTTATTGAATTTACACACAATACAAAGGCAGCATTCTCTCTCCTCTACGGACCTTAAGTTGTATATTGCCAAATATTTTAAATTGGTTTTTAAAGTTGCTGTTCCATACAAAGAAAATGTCAACATGTTGACCTAAGAAGATTAAGAAAATCAATTTTATTTAATTTAATTCTTTAATTATTGGTATAAATACAGGAAAATAACAAAAATGAAAGGGTTAATGAGCAACATGAAGCACAATAGTCAAAGCGCAATTTATTTCACATTATAAGAACAACAGAGTTTTCTGTGCTAGCCTCTTTGTAGTTTATTCCGTACCGTCCATCTTCTTTGTGTTCGACTGAACGTTTGAAGATTTGAGATACTGCACTACGTGATCTTCACAACCGGCTTAAGAGCCCCTGCACTGAAAATGACACATTCTTCACATAAAGGTTTCACTTTACCTGATTTTCTGGTGAAGGGAAAAGTATGATCCATGCTCTTTTTGGGAAATGTGTTATCAGGGGCTGTTAGACCTCGCACGGTACACTTATTATGACGTTATCGGTGGGAGCTGAATCTATTTCATGTCATTTTAAGAGCAGAAGCACTTTACGTGCTGTGTAATATTTTCCTAAAAGGAAAATACAAAAAAAACCCTGTGTAAAACTCCGTACAAATCGATCCTACCTCCCCTGATTCTTTAAATCTCCTGCCATAAAACCAGGTACATTCTATCTGCAAGACAATTAATACTTTTCAGAAATAAGCAAAATTGAGGTAATAAAAATACAGCATTAATTTAAATCAAATCTTTATCTGTGAATGGACTAGCTGGTATAATCATTTTTACAGAACATCCGATTATATTTAGTGGGAGAGATGTATAAATGTGGTGAGAGACGAGAGCAATTAAGGCAAAGTGCTAAAAGTGGTGCAATCAGAAGCCTGCAGCACTGGCATTAAACTTAGCAGCTCTCCACAGATCTAACACTAAACTCAGCAGCTCTCTATAGATCTAGCACAAAACTCAGCAGCTCTCTATAGATCTAACACTAAACACAGCAGTTCTTCATGGATCTAACACTAACCTCAGCAGGGTTCCATAGATATAACACTAAACTTAGCAGCTCTCCATAGATCTAACACTAACCTCAGCAGGGTTCCATAGATATAACACTAAACTCAGCAGCTCTCCATAGATCTAACACTAAACTCAGCAGCTCTCTATGGATCTAACACTAAACACAGCAGCTCTTCATGGATCTAACACTACCATCAGCATTGTTCCATAAATCTAACACTAAACTCAGCAGCTCTCCATAGATCTAACACTAAACTCAGCAACTCTCTATAGATCTAACACTAAACTCAGCAGTTTTCCTTAGATTTAACATTAAACTTAGAAGCTCTCCATAAACCTAACATTAAACAAAGCAGTTATACATAGTCCTAACCTGAAACTCAGCAGCCAGCTCTCCATACATCTAACACTAAACTCAATTAGCTTGTTCTTCGGTGGGTCT